ACTTGAAGGACCACATAAGATGAAATTCCAGAAATGGTAAAAGAAAAGTCCAACAGCTTGTTATCTCATCGTAAAGTATGAGGATGTGACGTGATGTGATTATATTTTTACGTAGCTTTAACAATGTTTCAGTCATTTCGCTACAATGTCTGCAATGTGGCAGTTTATAGTGATGACAAGCACTGGGACATCATGACGCAGTCACGTAGCATGATGTCCCACCCAGTCAAATTACTGTGACACCAGGCCGACCAGTCCTAACACTAACCTCTTAATGCTGAGCGTCAAGCGAGGAAGCTGATAGTACCATTTTTGTAAGTCTTTGGTATGACTCGACTGTGGATAGAACCCACGACCTCCCGCATTGAGGCGGACGCTTTAACCACTGTGCCACCGGAGCGGTTAAAGAATGATGATTATTACAGAATGTTTCTTGGCATGGCTATTGAACATATTGAAAATCATCAATAGAAAAAAACAAGTTAGTTCTTGCATTGAAAAATTAAAAATATGCCTAGCTTTATTTGCTCAGAATATAAAAATGTGGAAATAATAAATCACCTTCCTGACCGCACGTTTGACATGAAGCCTGACGAGGACCATATTGACAAAAATGCGGAAAAAACTTTTCAACTGATCAAGATTAGATACTGAGTTGTCGCCTATGTTGCGAAAAACAGCTGAGGCTTATTGTCTAATTGCTAAGTATCACCACCAACATTTACATGAAGCCAATGAGTTTCAAGCCGCTACAGATTTTATCAGATCCAAGTTTGATGACCAAATAGGTTTGCATAAGAAGCCAACATCGGCAGAATTGCCACAAGGATACTTTGTTGGTGTTCCAGATGCATCAGAATTTAATTAAACATTATTTAGACTACATGAAACATAATGACTACATAATAGTCTGCAAGAAAAGGTAGCCGATCTTTAGTTAAATATTATCAACAAACTTGAGGCAGAACATCCACATCCACAACTTGAGCAACGGTATCCACAGCCTGAAATTATATGGTCACAATTTGAAACAGAAAATGTAAAACCTGTAAATGTAAAAACGATCGAAATTAGCCGAGGTTTATTATCTGATTATAATATAAATATTGCGACTAAATGTTAATATCAATTCGCTTGTTGCATGTATCAATATCAAATATCCTTACGCGCATTCACAAACCAAGACTTCACCAAGCTGACACAAACTGTTTTCTTCACGGATCCTCCAGACACAAGTGCTCAGATCAAGCCAAAATTGGAGGACTGAGAGTTTAAGAGCAGCTTTTTCTTACAAACAATTGAAAGCAAATTCAACTTTGCTCAAACTTATTAACTCGCTGCTTGCAGCAGATGAACCTGGTCAATAAAAGATATTATATACGTTGAAAGATATAGATTTGAGTAATGTTTGTACCATTTTGAAAAGTAAAACATAGGGAAGAACATATCACATATCACAGCTATCACAACAAACTCGCCGCTTCAAGAAATCTTACATTTATTACAAACGTTTATTGTCTGTTATTCCGTTAGCACTAAACGCTGTGCATTTCTAACTCCATTTCTTCTGAATGTTTCTGGCATTGGCATCTTAGCGCAGACCACTCTCAGAAACGTGGCGCGTATATATAACGTGTACATGCCATCTTTGAATAGTAAATGTATAAAGTCGTGTTCTGCAATCATGACCTGATTTTTAGTTAGGTCATGACATTATGTAACATTTCTATATTAAGCAAGCCCATGACACTATGGTTCACGATCTATCACGTCATCTAACACACCATGAACACTGTACACTAGAAAATGTAGATTACCCAATTCGAATACAACCCGATTAAAATCAGATTAGCACTGTCGTATGCAAACATCTGACAGCGACTATTTAAGGGCCATGTTCTGGTGACTTACGTTATTACCCTATCACAAATGTTATCAGTCAATCAGATGAGGTATCGTATCTTCGCATTTGGGAGACTGAGCAGTATGGTTAAACAGCGTCATTGTGTGCCGAGCGATTTGATTCACTTTCAGATTTGTGAAAGCAGCATTGCCATTGGCTAATTCAAAGGTCACCAGAAAATGACTCCTAATCGGTTGCTGTCAAATCTTCACGTATGACAGTGGAGATCTGATATTTATCAAAATTATTTGATTGATACGAATGTACAACCAAAGCGTAGCCAAGAACACCTGTATTGATTTTTTATACTGACGAACATCCTAATGAAGAAAATAATTACCGTCGTTACGCAGCGTGTATCCTTTAGCAAAGAAAAGCTACGAAACTCACTATAGTCCGATGCTACATCCCCGTTTGTTTGTACCCTCTACCAATTTCAATAACTAAAAAGTTTAATGTGATAAAAATTGCACAGAACTAATTCAACTGAATCATTGATTTACAATTTCTAACCGGACTGTGACCAGACTGGTACTAATACTGGCATCCCCTTGTACCTTTCATGCTTAACGGACTTTCCATTAATGTGAAAGGCAATGTTGTTTCTTTTTTCTTTTCCTTTGCTTGATTTGACACCTTAAATATCAGAAGCAGACGACATATGCATGTTCATCTTTAGTTACGCATACAACCATTTGCTGAAAATGAACTTATCCAGGAACTGGAAATGGTTCTCAAGCATGTCAGTCTATTACATTAAAAACTTCCGTTAAGGATGAAACGCGCAGACGATGACTGTATTATGGCCATTCTACTCACAGTCAGGTTAGAAAATATAAATCAATGAATGAATTGACTAAGTTCCTTGCACTGTTTATCAAATTAAAGGTTTCTGTCATTGAAATGGGGGTGGGTACAAACCAACTGGTTAGTAGAATCGACTATAGCAGCCTTCATTTGTGCATAGGAGACCCTTCATTTGTGCATAGGAAGCCTAATGTCGCTATTTTTCTAATTGTGTTAGTCAAGCCAATAGTTCCGGAAATTGTAATTTTATATTTTTCCATGAAGCGTTATGCAAATTGCTCCAAACAGCTAGTCTGAAACTCACTTCAAGCATCAAGAGAATGACTAATTATCGATATTTAGAGCATTCAACGTACAACAGTATACTTTGGTTCATTCTGACTAGAAAAAAAATAGTAAGTTGTGTACAATTTAAGTTCTGTTTTGATGTTTATTAATTATAGTTAGAAGCATAATTTTTATATTTTTATAATTAGTTCTACTCTTCCAAATTGGCAAGTGTTTCAGTCACGGTTACATTTGGAAACACTACAGCATCTGTAAGTCGGTCGCCTTCTAATGTACTAATGTTATGATTGTACCATTGTTCGAGGCTTTTTGCAAAACATTATTCGACCAGTTACAAAAAAAAATTATCTCAAAAGAAATAAGTGTGTTTCTAATATCTAATAAGTGTATGTACGAAATGACAATCAAAACAATTTTGCCTTTTGGAATGTATCATAATTCAAGTAAAAATATGAAAAAAAACATTAGTTATATTTAACTTAAGAGTCAATTGAAAGTAAACGTAATAAACGCATTGTACCGTGTTTCTATTTACGTCAAAAATGGTGTGACTCGCTAAAAGTGTTTCTATTTACGTCAGCCATGGTGTAATTTGCTATTTCGTTTTTTATTTACGTCAACCAAGTTGTAACTCAGTATCGTGTTTCTGTTTTCGTCAAAAATCGTCTAACTTGCTACAGTGATCATATTTATGTCAACCATGGTGAAATTTGCTACAGAGTTCCTTTTTACATCAACCATGGCGCAACTTGCTAACGTGTTTCTATTTACGTCAGCCATAATGTAACTTGCTACCTTGTTTCTATTTACGTCAACCATAGTGTAACTCGTTACTCTGTTTTTAATAACGTCAACCATTGTATAAATAGCTACCGTGTTTCTATTACATCAACCACGGTGTAACTCGCTACCGTGTTTCTATTTACTTCAACCATGGTGTAACTCGCTGCCATGTTTCTATTAACGTCAACCATGGTATAAATTGCTACAGTGTTTCTATTACATCAACCATTGTGTAACTCGCTACTATGTTTCTATTAACGTCAACCATGGTGTAAATTGCTACTGTGTTTCTATTACATTAACCAAGGTGTAACTCGCTACCATGTTTCTATTAACGTCAACCATGGTGTAAATTGCTACCGTGTTTCTATTACATCAACCACGGTGTAACTCGCTACCGTGTTTCTATTTACGTCAACCATGGCCTAACTAGATAATATCATCAGATGCCTCATTGGTATAATACGTTGACTTGTCAGTGTTGCTGCTTAGTAAAAGCGCTAACTTCAAAAACTCTTTGACAAAGTCCAGACAATGAAAATCACATATATTTTGTGAAGGATGCCTCCACTATGAGGATTTGGTTGTGGGGTTTGGGGTGGGGTACTCCCAATATTTTATTTAACCTATTGTGGAAGTCCCACCCAAGCTCGATTTTGGTTAGAAGTTTAATTAGTTTAAGATAGATGTATAGCTCTGAGCCCCCAATCAGCAATGCCGACGGCTAAATGATTAAATATACAATAAGGGTGAAATTCAATAAATAACAATTTAATAACAATTCAATAGTGAAATGATTCAAATTTCCCAAGTACATTCCTTACACCCTTTCTTTAATAGCTTAATGCTTCGATTGTTTCATAAAGTTTGATTCATAGTGTGAGATAGATTTTCACCTGACCTTGTATTCTACTCAACTGTGTATTGTTCTGTCCTGTCTCCCAATTATTTCTCCTCTTCCTCTCCGACTCTCCCCAAATTCCTTCTCCTCCTCAACTTCTCTATACTACTTCTCCTAATCCTCCTCGATTTTTCTATACTCTTTTACCTCTTCCTCCACGTTCTCCTCCAGACTACTTTACCTCCTCCTCCACCTTCTATGCACCTTCTCTTACCGACTAGGCCTTTGTCGACTCTGACTGCTCTGTTAGTCTTACTTCTGTCTCCACCTTTTAAAACCTCAGGACTCAACTGAACCGGAAGTTCTGTCCACTAAATTGCTCCAGTGGCCCAGTGGTTAGAGCGTCCGCCTCGGATGCGGGAGGTCGTGGGTACGAACAACGTCCGAGTTATACCAAAGACTTTGAAAAATCTTACTAACGGCTGCCACGCTTGTCGCTCAGCATTAAGAGGCTAGTGTTAGGATTGGCTGGCGTGGTGTCAGGATAATGTGACTGTGACTGGACATCACGCCACATGACTGCTGCATGATGCCCCAGTGCTAGACATCACTATAAACTTTCACACTGCAGACATCGTAGCAATATGACTGAACAATTGTTAAAGCTTCGTTAAAAATCTAAATCACTTGCACACACACATCTCACAGAACAACCAGCCGATCATCAGATTAAGGACTATTAAACTTCTTCGGTCACGCATTGATTCACATCGAAATGCCCATACGTTCTTGTATGGAAAAAGAACGTCATAATAAAAGCACTGTATCAATTACTTCTCATACAGACAGCAAAAACTTGCGTCACATCAGTGCATATTCCTAATCCCGTTATACTAAACAATAGGAAACTTCCGAGATTCCCAGTAAGACGTCGCAAATAAGGGTTGGCATATCTCTGGTTGACAGAACCACTATAGCGACAAAGGAAGATGATCTCTATATCAGCTTAGACCATTAAATAGGCAGTGCTAATTGTATACCTGGTACTAATGTTTTGATGTTGGGTATATAATTTTAAGTCATATATATTAATATTCCGTTACATTAACTAATTTTATATATATATATATATATATATATATATATATATATATATATATATATATATATATATATATATATATATATATATATATATATATATATATATATATATATAAAGAATACAAATCATATGGCGAATAACAACCCTTTCAAGCGCACTGGATCCACCAAGGGATCACGTGTGTCAGGGATTGATTAAAATAGATGCAATAAACTGACGACGAACAGTGCGAAACTAGTAACTAACGAGCCTGAACGCTTTCGACTCTTAATGAGTCTTTTTCAAAGGCAAATACAAAACATATATAAGAGAAACAAATAAACACAAAAACGTTGTGTTTGTAAACCTCTACATGGCTGTCTCCACATGAGGTATTGCTAACAACCACAGCTAGAGTTCCGAAACCAGGAAGGAAAAGGAATTATACTGGATACGCTGCCTTAGAACATTGAAACCAAGTGGTCTAAACCAAGAAGACTAGAAAAAGAAAACTATGCACTAATAGAATTTAACTTTTTCTAAATCTTCTTAGTATCCTTCAATTTTTACTATAAGAATAACCGGTATAGAATCAAATACCCGGGATATAATCTGCGTTACATAAATGTACAAAAAGGTAGAAATAGATGTCGCTTTGGCTTGTAGACTTTTAGGGAATTATACACAGTTTTCAGTATCCGCAACAAGTTTATACAAGCTGGTTGTATTTATAGTTTTACCTCATATAGAGGTTTACAAACACAACGTTTTTGTGTTTATTTGTTTGTCTTAGATATTAGCATCATATTAACATCAATTATCCCCGTTTTTTAAATGAATTTAAGAGGAAAAGCTATTTCACTGCAATCAATTCTGCTTTCCGTTCAAAGGCCAAATATGTATATTGCCAAGTGGTATAAATACAATATTTGTACAGGATGAATGCTGTATCAATGATATGCTATTCGCATAAATTTTCATCAAACGGTAACTTGGCTAACCCCGTTTCTTAGTATGTAATAGCTATGGACAATTATCAGTTTCTCGTCGTCATCATCATCATAAAAGAGGAGAAGGAGATGCATGTTATTTTCAGGTTTATCATTTAACTTTACATTTCCTTTGTTGATAAAAGATAATCTGCATAAACACCTGTAGAGAGAATTGTTTAATGTTGTTTTGTTCATTATTAACAACAAAACGATGCAATTTATCGTGGTTCCATCGTGGAAACTTTTATTTAATGTGGATTACTGTATTGGCTTTGAAGTGATTTAACTGCATGTCTTGGTATAAAAACCTATCTTGATCAATGATCACTATAATAAATTTCACTGTTAATAGTATATATATATATATATATATATATATATATATATATATATATATATATATATATATATATATATATATATATATATATATATATATATATATATAGTAGTATTAGTAGTAGCAGTAGTACATTCAGCCTTTCATTCATATTATCGGGAAAATATTACACTCTTTTAAAATTATTACCAATCAATGTTACGACTCTATGGTCTTAAACTCAAAGTAATAGAAAAGAGCTAAAACCAATAAGTTTTGTAAAATTCAGCAAACAATTTAATTCTCCTGAATAAAATGTGAAAATTTAGAAGAAATTATAATATTGTGAATTAAATTCTAAACAGTTCTAAAAGGTCTACCAAAAGTATAAAAAAAAATATGTATTCCGAATTAATTCATTTTACTCACAGGATTATCTCTCAAACAACAACAAAACAGACATACAGTCATTTCTATTGCTTAACGTATCTTTTGTCTTGTTTGCGACATTATACACAAAATGCGGGACATTACTATATTACTAATTCACTTTTCTACTGCTAGGTAAGAATGATGCCGTAGACCAACCATTGTGGACAACGAGTAACTGTTAAATCTTGACATGTATTGCAAAAGGGAATGTATAACTGGGGCAGGCTCAACAAATCTAGGCTGGACATGGATGATAAAAAAAAAACAAATAAACTCATCGTACAGTATGAGCTAAACATGGGGCTTTAAATGGTTGACCCCCATCTGTAGTGACATCGTACTTTATTGGAATAGTTATAGGTTTAGAATCCCTAAACGACAATACCGCCAGCCTTTTCTGAACCAACATACATCGTAGTCACGCATGTCATGGCCCCACAATATGGAACCTCATCGCCATGAAAGCATTCAGAATAAATCTGAGGTCTGTGGTAGGTTTAGAAAAGAAACGATTATTTGTCCACATCTTGCAAAGTTGCAAAGGCAGTTAGCGTACCTGTGGACATTCTCTTCAAATCATTAGGAAAAAATGTACTTGTTATAGGTGTGAGCAACTTAACATTTTGCCGATCATTTATTTTGCAAACTGACGAAGCATGATGCTAAATCAAACTTTGCTCCCCATTATTTCTTGGCATCTTATCAAACTTTATTTATGGTGCACTTAATTATACTTAGACCCCGAATTGGTGATGTGATGTGATTTAGATTTTTAACTTAGCTTATTAACAATTTTTCAGTCATATCGCTACGATGTCTGCGGTATGACAGTTAATAGTGCTGTCTAGCACTGGGGCATTATGCCGCAGACATGTGGCATGATGTCCTACCCAGTCACATTATTCTGACACCAGCCCCACCAGTCCTAACACTATCCTCTTAATGCTAAGCGTCAAGCATGGCAGCTGTTAGTACCATTTTTTAAAGTCTTTGGTATGACTTGGCCGGGGAGACCCAGAATAGGCTATATCGTAACACAAATCATTATATAAATTAAAAAATGAACTACGATAAGGCACTCGACCAATTTTACTTTGGGAAAGAAAGGCCAGAATGCACGACTAATCCAGTAGCACACGATTAAGTCTGACAAGGAAAATATAGCTAGCGAAACACTAAGCAAAATTTGGCACGTTAGCTCTTTCACAGCTGGATGTAATGGACAAATCTAAATTGGAAAAGCTTTATTATCGCTGTGAGTTCTGTCTCATAGTCATGACGGCCAAGACGCTACTAGAGGGTGCACTTTGGCCGCTTTGATGGTGCTGCCTACACTTCCTCTGAAGATCAGCCTAAATTAGTAAGCGACCAAGAAGATGATCCTTGTGTTGGGCAAGTACTAATCGCATCCTTTTATGAGTTATTTTACCTCTACGATACATTCATAGCACTGCTTATCATAGCCTTAACCACGCTCTAGCACTGCCAATTTGGACTACAATGTACTTGAAATAAATAACCCACCGGGTAGATACTAAACATAGAACCAGAAAGAATCCTCGCAGTGGCGTCACTAGGGTTGGTGTCACCGAGTGTGTCAACTCACAATGTCATCCCCATGGACCTTCTTCCTGCACTGAAATTCAATTATTTTATAGATAGACATGTGGTAACTCACGGTGTAACCCCTATGAACCCCTTACATGCACAAAAATTAAAAATTATATAGACAGTCAAGTGCGGTAACTTACGGTGTCACCCCCGTGGACATCCTTTATGCACAAAAATTCAAAATTGTATAGTCATTTGGTGTCACCCCTTCTGATAGTATCACCTGGTGCGCTCCTCACCCCCGTACACCCTTAGTGACGTCACTAACTCCTCGCCTACAGGAACGGCCTTAGCAAACACTGGGTCCGATTTAGATCATTTTGGCGGGGCCATCTGTGAGCACGGCATTTGGAAAATGTTTCCATCACTTTAAAATTACTTTATCTCTCTCTCTCTCTCTCTCTCTCTCTCTCTCTCTCTCTCTCTCTCTCTCTCTCTCTCTCTCTCTCTCTCTCTCTCTCTCTCTCTCTCTTTATATATATATATATATATATATATATATATATATATATATATATATATATATATATATATATATATATATAGTTTTTAAAATTGCTAACGCGCGGGGCCATTGTGAGTGTTGTGCTCGATTGGGTTAAATCGGTCCAATCGGCCTAAGGCCGGACCTGCCCTCCAGAGGTGACGAGCGTATACGCTGCCGTTAGAGAAGAGACAGTGCTTACGTTTTGAGGGACACCTCTATACACCCTTGAGCTTAAATATCCGATATATCCGATATTGGTTACAGTGTTCTCCCTAGGAAAGATTCTCATAACAGCTGGGTAACCGTAGCAAAATATTTTCAGAAATGCGCGTTGTTATCAAAAAGTGAAGTAAAAAAACAAATGTAAAAAAAAACGTACATATACTTACATAATACTCTTTATTTCCATAAATTATACAAAAGACTAGATATTTTTATCATTTGGATATATTTTAACAAAACATTTCTGAGTAATATTGTTTTGTTTTCTTATATTTTTTCTACTTGAACAGTCTCAAGAGTTTA